TCAATTTTTAGGTTATTTCTTTTGTAAAGTTAAACTTGCAAATGATATTGTATGTCAAAATAAATTGAATTGGAGAATGGCAGGAATGGAATTAAATTAAACCGACATGGGCTAGCAGTCCCTGAAAACTTCTTTGTTTTTAAATAAGTTGAGTCATTGATATCTKGCAATTATTATCTATTTCGAAGTTGATGTTTTTTTTTAAAAAAAGGTATCATTTAAAAACAGTTTTTAAACAGTTTTACMTCACATGCTAATTTTTTGAAATTTTTATTTTCAGTCTTTTGAAGAATGGACAGTGGAGAATGTTCTGTCCTGGTTGGCCATCACCAATCACTACATATATGCAAATGTGTTCTTAGATTATGGAATAAATGGCTCAAAACTGCAGTTATTAAATGAAGAAAGCTTAGTACACATGGGTATTGAAGAAAAATCCCATCAGCTGTCTTTGTTGTATGCTATTAGAGAGCTGTTTGATGGGGATTCTCCCCAGGTGAGGTTTGGAGTAGAACATAATACATGACTCCTTTCTGCCACCTGCAGGAACTCTTCCATGTTTTCAAAGACCAATCACATGTTTTGCTGATGTTGTTGTTGTTGCAGCTGTTGTTGTTGCAGCTGTTGTTGTTGCTGATGCTGTTCAATAAAGATTGCAGAATAAAAGTTTTTTTAAGACCATAAGCTACTGTTTAGAAAACGTTTTTCTCAGGACTCTAGCTTTCGTCGAAACAGAGTGCTTTTCACCTTGATTATTCGTTACAGTTTATAATATGATTCTCTTCGAATTATTTCAGCATGTTATTTTTATTTTGATCTCATAGTTGGCAATTTTATCTCACTAGAAATGATTTTCAACTTTGATAAAATTAAAGTGAAATGTATTATAAGTTGTATTTCTTTCTTTCTSCAGAAACAATCCAGCAGTTTTACTGGTTTTCACAGAGCACCAAAAGGTAAGTCAAGTAGTCTTCAAACTGTTCAACTGACTTAAATTCTTCGTACATGTACTTCATTTATAGTCGCTAAATGGTGAATAAATATTTATCATCAAAGTATACCAGTATCAACATCTGGATGGATGTTGCAGTTCTCAGAAGAACTATTTGACGCGACTGACGTTTCAACAACCTCTGCCACAGTAATCAGACTTTCAAAGGGACTATCAAAACTTCAGTCACATCCAATAGTTCTTCTCAGTACTGGAACATCCACTTGGATGATCATATTCATGTTACATTGTACTTCAATAAATATAATACAAATCATGTACTTCATTTACTTAATATTCATTTTTTTATTATTAAAAAATTATTAATATTTCTTTTGTAATTTTGTTGTTTTGTCTGGTTTGTTTTAATTTCTTTCTTTACTAATTCAAGRAATTTCAGATGTTTCAACAAAGCCCTTTGTTTTGTTTTTGTTTTGTAATATTTTGTATTCTTCCCTCCCCTTTTGTTACTATTCTTTCTCCCTCCCCCTATCTTTTTTCATTTTGTTTTAGTGTTTCATTGCTCATTTCTAAGTGTCTATTAGAATTGTCTTTCATCTAAACATGTATGTTTTTTAGGTTCACT